ATGCGAACCCGCGACCCGCAGATTGCGAGTCGAGTGTCCTAACCACCTGGCCATGCCGGACCACAACTGGTAATGGAGAAATTACTGCACACAGCCAGACTGCTTCCTTAGTAATTAACGCTTATCGGATCTCTATATTTCCGACACCTGTTGCATTAAGAAATTCCTTTAAATTTACTGTCTTATTTTTATTTTAAAAAAAACGAGAGAGTTAAAGATTTTAATCGCTAGGCGAAAACAAGGTTGTAAGATTTAGATACAGGTTCATAGAAAAGTCTATAACTTCAATTTCTCGTGTCTATTAAAACTGATTAATTAAATAAGTTCGTGTCTTACCTCAAGCAGCAATAGAGTATCATCCATCGGGATCTGTTTAGCACCTTCCAACTTATAGTACACAGGGTCGGGGTAATACAAGAGTTCGGACAAGTGCATATTATAGTGGGGAAGATGTCGCAAATATTCAACACCATCCATTTCAAAGGCTACGTGAGCTCGAATAGGTGCATGCGCAGATGGAGCCGTTTTATTAATATCCGATAATGGTGGTGTTTGACAAACCATTTCTGAACCATCCGCTTTTGTCAGGGTGCAATTCTAGTAAAATTGAAAATAAATATTTTGTTGATGTTGTTGTTTTATTACACAACATAAGTATATATATATATAAAGAAACAACTAAGTTAGCATGACAAGGAATATATATATATATAAATGAAACATGGTCTTTTACCACGAGACTTCATTACATGTCGAACGAATTAAATGTAAAATCTGAAATACAGAACAGCATTCCGTTAGCGCCTCCTAGTAGTCTGTAGTTACATTTAATATTTCATTTCTTTAACGTCATTTTCTTCCATAGAGTGAAATAAAAACAAACAAAAAAACTTTTGTAATCGTGCGAAAAAAATGTTAGAAAAAAAATTTTTGACGCACACTTACAATGGTGAATAAACAGTAAGACCAGTATTAAAAATAAATGCAAGTTAGTGCACCAACGGGATACAAAAATAACTAAAATATTCCATCTATGCTTATTAGAGAACGTTAACATGAAAGTATCATACAAAACATACAGGTGTCAGGCTTAAATACTATAATACACCACTCATTTCCGTCAAGTTTTACAAAGTCCATGCTCATTTTTTATTTAAAGAAGCTTTCAGATGGTCAATGAACAAAGCCCCTTTGTCTTTCTTCTCATTCGGAGAGATGCACTTAGCCACAACCTTACACGTGAGGAGGCAGTTTGCCTAGTCTACAGTATTTGCAACTGCACTCATAACAAGAAAATTATAAAGATGTCGCTACAGTCGCTACTGAAGAAGGTTAAGTTTGTTTGTAGTTAAGCGTAAAGCTACACAAAGGGCTACCTGTGCTCTGCCCACCACGGGTATCGAAACTCGGTTTCTAGCATTGTAATTCTGCAGACATGCCACTGTGCTATTGGGGGAGAAGGTTAAGTAATTAGAAGATTTACTTACATAAGATATCGAAGCTCTACGATAAAACAAATGAATAGAACTGTTGATGAAGCGTGGTTTCCTGATTAGTTAGGGGTTATAGGGAAAGCCAACTCCTATGTCTTTAATATGGCTCAAAAAATCTCGCATAATGATCATACGGTTATGCCCAGCAACACCTTTATTTGTTACAAAAAATAAAACAACTTATTACAACTAACGAAAAAAGTGTCCTTACGATTAAACCATGTGACCACTAAGACCTTTATCACTGCCCACTAGGAGAAAAAAAAATATGTTGTCACGGCTAATCCTTACGATTATGACTAGCAACGCCTTTATCACTGTCAACTAAGAAAAACATTTATAGTTACGACTAATTCATCTGGTTATGACCTTCTTTATCATGCTGTCCACTACGAGCAGGTGTCTCGTTAAAGGTGTTCGTTATCGTGACTATACGGTTTGGTCAATAACACATTCTTTAAAAAAAAACATGCTCATCATAATTATAGGGTTATATTAACAACTGTGCCTTTTGTGTCACGTATGTTAATAAAGTTCTATCATGACAATAGGGTTATGGTCAAAAAGATCATTTTTATCATGATTCATTAGCAAAGCAGGTCCCATCATGGTTATTAAATATATATATATCAGCATGACTAAAATATTCTGGCCAACAGCACCTTTTTATTATGATTTATAACAAATCATCTCCCATCATGGCTATAAACACTTTCTTTGTATGGTCATGATTATGAGGTATTGGCCAACAGCACCTTTTTATTATGATTTATAACAAAGCATCTCCCACCATGTGGTAAAGATGTTGTTGAATTTTAGCGCAAAGCTACACAATGAGCTATCTGCACTCTTTCCACCGCAAGAATCGAACCCCGAATTTTAGCATCGTAAGTCCGTAAATTTACTGCTGACCAGCCGGGGGACACGACTGAAACGGCTAAAGCTATATTTGCTTACATGACGTCACATATCTGTACTTACCACAGATTTCCTCATCTGCTGCCCGCTGACTGACGACGTCAGTACAACAATCATTTTCGGTTTCGCCACACTGTGTAAATTGGTTCCGACAACAGTTACGTTAGTCCCGCCGCTTAAAAAAAAAGTAGATTCATTCACTTCTAAAAAATCAATAAAAATTAAAAACGAACTCATTCACATAATGAACCTAGGGGAAATATTTTACCATCCTATTCTAAGCCTAATAAATCCTGTATAATTATTGTAAAGAAAATTACTGGCTCTTTTCCAGTCAAAAACTTATATAATTAATAACTCAGGGTAATATTTCACGACATAATATAATTTCAGTGAAAATCAATCAGAAATATTTTTTTTTAATCCAAAGACTTTTATTGATCAACCTCTTAACGAGTATAGATTAAAGCAATGATAATATACATGATTCAGAAACAAATTAAAATTCGGACGTTTTTTTTTTCTGTTCATTTTGCAATTTCCATGCGTTAAGTATCACTTATATATTTTTTTACACACAAAAACGCTTTTTTTTACAGTTTCTTCTAGACTGCTTAAGCCGTTCAAAGAAAAACAAAACTGAGCAATTATATGAAGTGCGATCATATTTATAATTTCTTTTTCTCATCATGTATAGCTGTAAATACACTAAAAACAATAAATACCAAAAAGAAAACATGCTATATGATACTTACAGAAAATACGTTAAAAGAGATTAAGCTAGGAGCAACAAGCAAAACAATATATATGAGTAGAAACATGTTAAAAACGGTAATTAACGTGAACAAACTGGAAACGGTATGCCCCCTAGTAGCACATCGGTATGTCTGTGGACTTACAACGCTAGAATCCGAGTTTCAATACCCGGGGTGGACAGAGCACAGATAGCCTATTGTGTAGCTTTGTGCTTAACTTAAAACAAACAAACTCATCATGTATATGATTTATTCAATCAACATTTGCCGGTTTTGGGTTTAAGTGGATCTGTAAAAGACAAAAAAAAAAGTATTTCTTATAAAGTTAGAAAAAAATGACTTTTACTCTCCAGATAATTAAAAGAAACTTTTTTATTTCATAATGGCTTCTCGGGCTAGTTTATGAATGGTGAAACATATGATGAAATAAAGTTACTTTTAATTATCTGGAGAGTAAAGGTCTTTCTTTTTATTTAACTTTATTGCCAAAACTGTACTGTATGTTTGTTTTAGAACAGAGCCACATTGAGCTATCTGTTGTGTCCACCGCGGAAAATCGAACCCCAGATTTTAGCATTGTAAGTCTATAAACTTATCGCTGTCCCACTAGAGAACTTCAATATAAACTGTATATTTCTTACAAGTTAAATTACCAGTCCTAACGATAATTCATTTTAAGCGGCTATTGATTCTTAGTCTCACAATCAAAATTATTCAAGAACTCAACGTACCTTTTAACTGTTACATGTGGATGCAGGTTAATTATTTTTGGGTCCTCTATGTACTTAAATCGAGAATGGAGATCTCTACTCTGGAGAGCTGGCGTATTCTTCACGGTAAAAACAGCATTATCTATTTTAATCATCACGACCCGCTCTTTGTAGGCTCCATCTTCCGCAGTGTGAGGGCTGTGTTTATATTTGCCCGTTATACACTTTGCTTTATTGCCCACATTCCTGAAAAGTAACAAAGGAACCTGTTCACTGTAAGCTTATTAACACGGAATATACACCAATAAGAAACCTCGTTTCTGTGCATGTCTTGTTGCACATGTTAACGAATTTCAAACGTTAGATTATGGTAACTCAAAACCTTAAATGTCGGAAAATGCTTGTGTCAAACACATTTTAGGAATAAAAGAGCATAAATGTCAAAATAACAGTTTAAATTTCATCGCGTGATAGGCGTAATTTACTTCGGTTACACCTTTAACATGGTTTGAATTTTGTTTTCAGTTAACGTGGTTCTTAGAAGGGTTTTTTAAACTCTGTTAAACACTCCAGTACTCTCTCCATGGCGATGAGACACCTTTATAAGGAAAACAACAGATGTACAAAACGTACCATGCCAAGAACGTAGGTGTGCTACTGGTTTATGAAAGAAACTTCAAAGGTTGGTGTAGTATTGAAAAGAAAGACCGTATCAAGAACATAGGTATGCTACTGGTTTATGAAAGAAACTTCAAAGGTTGGTGTAGTGTTGAAAAGAAAGACCGTATCAAGAACGTAGGTATGCTACTGGTTTATGAAAGAAACTTCAAAGGTTGGTGTAGTGTTGAAAAGAAAGACTGTATCAAGAACGTAGGTATGCTACTGCTTTATGAAAGAAACTTCAAAGGTTGGTGTAGTGTTGAAAAGAAAAACTGTATCAAGAACGTAGGTATGCTACT